CAGATTGGGGATCACGCCTTTTCAGGATGCAGCTCGCTGGTAAGTGTGACCATTCCTGAGTCAGTGACGCAGATTGGGGATCACGCCTTTTCAGGATGCAGCTCGCTGGTAAGTGTGACCATTCCTGAGTCAGTGACACAGATTGGGCATGCAGCCTTTGCAGAGTGCAGCTCGTTGGCAAGTGTGACCATCCCCCACTCAGTGACACAGATTGGGAATGGTGTCTTTGCAGAGTGCAGCTCGTTGGCAAGTGTGACAATCCCCCACTCAGTGACACAGATTGGAAATGAAGCTTTTGCAGAGTGCAGCTCGTTGGCAAGTGTGACCATCCCCCACTCACTGACCCAGATTGAGAATGGAGCCTTCCGAGGGTGCAGCTCGTTGGAAAATGTGACGATCCCTGATTCGGTGACCTGGATTGAGTACGGGGCCTTTGCTGAGTGCAGTGCTTTGACTTTGGTGGTGCCCATCACTCAGACCCGGTGGGAGAAAGACGCCTTCACGCGCTGCAAACGGATTCTGGCAAAAGAATGTGAATGTCAACAGTGCAACTACCGCTGGTTTCTGAATGGCTGGGTGTGTCCTCGGCAGTGGCGGTCTTCACATCAGTGCCGCCATGGCTGTCACTGAGAGCCTTATTGAAGCTGTGTTTGCTGCTTGCCAAAAGAATGGATGTTTACCAGGATGGATATATGCCAGAATGATTGGATAAACCAGCAGACCTCATTGCTGGTCAATCTTTTGAGGCAGGTTTGCCAAATAATGCCACTTTCTATCCATCACTTGCAGCTACTCAGCCGCTCCTCTTGCGAAAAGGGCTTGCTCAGTGACTGACTTGGTGGGTTGGGTGGGAAGACACAGGCCCCAGTCGGCATGGATGGTGAACATGCCCCAGTCATTAGGTTCATTTCCTGTGTCAAGCTAGGGTCGATTGCCTATTCAATAGTCAAGGAAACCTACAATTAGTGCAAATACGAGGAAACGTTTTGCAAAGACAGAGAGTCTACCACTTTTTGAGAATAGTTTTACTTCTCACGAGCAAAAGTCTACCTCTACCACTTCTTGAGAAAGTTACACCCTTCACGAACCATCACAAGATCGGACAGAACACACTTAGGCAAACAGGCCAAAAGTTTTCATGTTCGGCTTTTCGAGAGAACTTTGACATTTGACGAATGTCCACAAATGTTTAAGATTGTTTAAGTACCAGTTGCCTCTTGACCATGGTGCAATTACTGTGTCAAAGCATCCCAAGTACCTATGTCTTCCTGCCTGTTGTACTTTGCAGGAAAGCATCCTAAACAACCGATGTACATACATCATCATATATCCATGGTTTCAAGTCTCTCTATGTCGTGTTGTTTCCTATGTTCACATGCAAACACCAATAGTGCACCCTTGTTTCCTCTTGATCAGCTGAAGGACCCAGACTGAGCCCGATGATGTTCATGACGCGTGGTTTTTTCCGGGGCTTCGTTGCTCGCCCGTGCTTCGTTCGACATCGTCCGTGGACGGACACCGGCGGGTTTCTCCGCAGGAGAATGTAGGGGCCCCCTGGTTTGGCCTGGTTTTCCTCGTGTTCTCTCGTCCGGTCCATTCGTTCGGTCTCGCCACCTGGCCAGGACAGTCCAAGAATCCGCAGCCTTTGTCAGGGTGGAAAAAGAAGTGCCGGCCACTTCCGAGGAATGCCAGTGCCCACTTCCGAGTAGATGTTCCGGCGGGCATGTCAAAACCGCACGTACTTATAGGTGGCAAGATGGTCTCATGAGTGGTGAGTGCGATCTAATTTTTTGAAGCCACTATAGTCATCATCAACTTGACCCTTGAGGCCAGTGACGGCTGGTGGGAAGATGAAGACACTGGACAACATGGACCGTCACACATGCCCCAGACCGTCGTTTACCTCCAAAACAACCGTGCCCAGACACTCCAATGGGTTGTTTTCTTGGGTCAAGCGAAGGTACCCGGACCTTCCAATGGAGATCCACATCAAAAAACATGGAGGGGCTTCATGGTGACTCCTTTGGAAGGTGCTGGTAATTATGTGGTTCATATTCCAGTCCCATGGCGTGTCTGGGGATGTCTCGGGATTTTCAGCCTCGGTGGCGTTGGAGTCGGTGGGAGAAGAGGCACCCTGTGGAGAGGAGAGGGGACCGGGTGGACCGTGGAGGCCAAACCTCCCAGGTGCAATGATGTAGATGGAGATGTGGTGTTCTCGATCAGACTGAAAGATCTTGGAACATTTTTGATTAAACCCTGGAAGTCCAAAGACTATTTTTGGAACCGCCCAAGTGATCCCAAGTGAAGGATTTTTTTTGGATCACCTAAAGACCGTTTTAAGAATGGTCTTGGACTCCCAGGGTAAAGGCATTTCTCCCCATTTTTCCATCCCATTTTCACCATCAAAGCCGCCCGTCCGCACTCCAAAGCCTGCCGGCTTCGAGCGGCTGGGTGGGTCGATCGGCTTCTCCCCAGATGGACCCACGACCCACGACCCACACCGGTGGCGAACGAGGGAGCGAGATCCTCGCAGTCGAAGTCATCGAAATTTTCAGTTTCGCCAATTCCGGATCCATCAGGAATCAGGAGTCAACGGTCGTGTCAACGGTCGTGTCAGCTCCTGGTCGGAGCTTAAGGTTTGTCCACCCCTTCTTTTAATGTCCTCCGTGGCAAGAGAGTCATTCCTCCAGATCCCAATTTGGAGGAACGACCCAATACATCTCCCGGTGGTGATATTGGATGGCTGAGGTGTAGGGTGTCGGAGCCAGTGGATTGGATGTGTAGGAGCTACGCTTTCTAGGCACAAAAAGGCTTCATACATTTGGAGGAACAGTTGGTACTTTTGATCTGCAAAGCAACCCACACTGGTCAAGTCCTTTTCAGGGGAGGTGACGCCGCTACATCGTCCTGGTTGTCGTTGTTCTTGGCCCAAAGTTAGGAGCCAGTGGCCCTATAACATTAATTAGCTTTGGCTGCTTTGGAGGATGAGACCAAAGTTCTGGAAGCACAGGAGCAGGATGAAGATATTGTGACTTTGCCAGAAGTATCAGGTCATCATGGACTATCAGCCAGAGAGACCACCGACCGCAATCGCAAAAAAACACAGGGTAGCACGAACGGTCTCAGTTTACACCGCGGCTTTCCTATCCTTTCCTCCAAGTCACGGATGGAACTCCACATTCCCCGGACAGACCAAAGCGCACACATCAACAGTACGCTCGACTGACCCGTTCAACGCTGAAACGAGGCGTTCGGCGGCTCCTCCGAACTCACGTCGTTTTGGTCTCGCCATGGGGGACGACCGGCACCGGGTTCCCGAGGGCAGCTCTGCAAGGCCCCCGGCTGTCTTGCTTTGTTTCGAGGGTCCGTCCTCTTTGCAAAAAGAGAGGGTCCACGGATTTGTATTTTTGGGGTTGAAGGGGAAGATGAAAACCCAAGGCAGGGAGATGGGAGATCTCCAAAAAACACTTACCAGAAGCCCAGGTCATGGAAGGGTATGGAATGACCCAAAGGTCGGCTTACTTGGTTTCGGAACGACCCATATGCACAGTCCTCGCATGCGGAACAGTCGGAACAGTCCTCGGGTGGTGGTGGGGTGATCCGATTCCAAACAGCCTTGGATGGAAGAACCCAAGTTGGTGCAAGTGCTGACCCAGCTATATAAATGACTTGGTGCTGACCCGGCATCGTTCAACATCGTTGTTTTTCAAGTCGTGAATCATCGTACTGCTACTTGACGACTATCCTTCTTCCTTCTTTCCCCAGAGGTGTGGATATGTGATCAAAGCTGAAGCGACAACACTAATATGTTTGAGGGCTCCCCGAGTGTAGCTAGCATTTATATGCTCATCCACAGGTCCACAAATATCTCCTGTAGGAGGGAAACATGCTCCATCTACGCAAGCGACAGATCCAACACTCATGTATGGTGGGCGGAACATGGTGGAACATGGTTCAACCTACGCGTTGTTGGCTTCTGTTTGTGGCACGGAATCCGCCAGGCGGGTTCCACCTGCCAGCCGGTTCCATCCGCCCTCAATCGGCCAGGATGGAACACGCGGCCTATGGCAGGTGCGCCCTGGACGCGTCTGTGGACGACGCGGGACGCAGGACGTGGGGATGCGGTAGTTGGTGGAGGAAGCTTGTTGGAAGAGTCAAGGTGCGTTTAACTTGTTGAGACAAGTTATGTAAAGACTTTTCGCGAACCATCAAGCTTGCACTGCACCTTGGCCTTTGGACAGGAACTTCTGGCAACCAGTCGACTGCCAACATGTTTGCATTAAACCGTTCGACTCTCCAAAGACATGACGTTTTTTCTTTTTCAACTTAACTGAGGCAACCGTTTCCGACTTTGAGTCAGAAACATGCGGCTGACTTCCAAGTCATAGAACACATGACCTAAAACAGGCAAAAACGGCAATATAATCCATATTATACTATTTATGGACCATCCCCAAAAAAGGCTAAAACGGCCTCCAAAAGTCCATGAGTCAATGGTCAAGACATGTCAAGACCCTTTTGTGCCGCTTCTCCAACGACCGGGCCCCGACGGGCACCGGGTAGGACGTCCGGACGATCGATCGACACTCGTGAGACGAAGGACCGATTGCAGGACGGGGTGAGCTGGTGAGCTCAAAGGGAAGGACCGAGCGCGAACCGGGCAACGATGGACATGGAGGACATGGAGTCCAAGCATTTCCGTTGAAATGCTAAGGGGTGACCTTGGTTTGCGTGGGGCACAGCGCAGTGCCTGCCCTTTTCAACTGTTTGGCCAATGCGGGATTGTTGAGAAGCGTGTGACTTTTCTTTCGAATCACGTGCGACATTTTCGACGAAGTCAGCTTTTCATCTTCAGGGTCAAGCAAGATTGGAGTGCAGCCAACCAGTCAGACACATGCTTTCCCAGATGCTTGGCCATGGGAATTTGGACCATGTCAAGTACTAATATATAGCATGTCAATGCTGTGGGATGCCAACAAACACTTTCAAGAAGGTACTTTTTTTTTGTGGGTGCTTTTAGGCATATTGTTTGTCCCTTCCATCTCAGAAACGGCCTCCACAAAGTATCATCACCAACAACATCGTCGCCCGTTGCCCTTCGCCACATCGCAGGTATCCTCTGCTCATCAAGATCCCTCGCGCCGAGATGCATGGGAGCACCGTTGGGCGCGGTCGCCCATCATCTTCCATCGCCGATGGGAGGGGGAGCTTCTGCGAGGGCCATCGTGGCGGTTGCAAGAGCCTGCAGAAGGTCAACCGGTTAACCTATATTGATATGTCAACCGGTTTGTGTTTTTTCCCCAGATAGCGAAGCTATGGCTATGGGGTTCTTACTTCAAATAACAATGAGTTGCCCGTGCGCGCTTTCGAGACAGGTTGCTGGTGCTGGTGCCGGGTGCCGGTGCTGGTGCTGTGAGCTGGCTGTGCACGGTGGTGCTGTGAGCTGGCTGCGCACGTGGTGGAGACAGGTTGCTGGTGCCGGTGCTGGTGCTGGGTGCCGGGTGCCGCTGGTGGCGGGTGCTGGTGCTGTGAGCTGGATGTGCACGTGGTGGAGACAGGTTGCTGGTGCTGGGTGCTGGGTGCCGGTGCTGGCGCTGGTGCTGTGAGCTGGCTGCGCATGTGGTGGAGGAGACAGGTTGCTGGTGCTGGTGCCGAGACAGGGTGTCGGTGCTGGGTGCCGGGTGCCGGTGCTGGTGCTGTGAGCTGGCCGTGCGCGTGCTGGTGCCGGTGCTATAAACTACCTATGCGCGCGGTGGAGACAGGGTGCCGGGTGTTGCTGGTGCTGGTGCTGTGAGCTGCTGTGAGCTGGCTGTGACGTGGTGGAGACAGGGTGCCGGTGCCGGTGCTGGCTGGCTGGCTGGCTGGCAGTCGAACTCCTCTTCTAGTCCTCTTCCAGGCTCCTCCTCCAGAAGCCGTTCTCTGACCTCCCACATCTTCTCGCTGGTAGACACCTGCCCAGAAGCCGATCTCTAACCACCCACAGGTCTTCTGGCTGGTCGACAACACAAAAATGGTCCTCAGCGCGGCTTGGTGACTTCCACCTGACATAGACAGCTCCACACACTCCCTCGGGTCTTCTCGCTGGTAGACAGGGTCCCTTCGCCACGCTTTTCCATCTCACGCCCAACCAGAACTGAGCCAAAAATTGTCCTTGGAGTGACTTCCACGCGTGGCTGACATTCCCACGGGTCTTCTCGCTGGTAGACAGGCTCCCTTCGCCACGCTTTTCCATCTAGTGCCCAACCAGAACTGATTCAAGAATTATAGGACCGGATAACCCCACATGTTCACAACTTCACCAGACACAGGAGCGGACAATTGATGGTTGGTGGGTGACGATTAAATAGTTGGTTGGTGGCAGTTTGTGGGTGGAAGTTTGTTGGTGGTTGACTTTGACGCCAACTCAGTGGAGCGCGTGCCCACTTGAATCGAGGATCAGGTGACCGTGATTGGTCATTCATCTTTGCAGCAGAGGATGCTTGGTTGAGGTCCAATCACCATCTATATGCCACTGACGGCACAGTTGGAGGAACCCCTGCAAAGGCCATGGTGGCTTCTGGCTACGCGCCGACTGAGTTCCATCACAAGACGATGGCCACATGCCCAGCGATCTGCACCAGTGATCCTGCCAAACGAGCGGCTTCCATCCGCTATGCGGGCGATCATGTGCAACCGAGCTTGTATGTGCACGCTCTTGCCACCAGCCACCACCCTGCGAAAGCAGGGATTACCTCTCCGGCGTTTGGCAACATCTGGGTCGGATCGCTCACCAGGTTTAACACACAGAGATCCGCAATTGGTTGGTGGCAATTTCCTGGTGGCAATGGTTTGGTGGCAACTGGTTGGTGGCAATTGGTTGGTGGCAGTTTGTTGGTGATGACAACTGGTTGACGACAATTGGTGGGTGGCAATTGGTTGATGACAACTGGTTGACGACAATTAGTTGGTGACAGTTGGTTGGTAGCAATTGGTTGGTGACAATTGGTTGGTGACAATTGGTTGGTGACAATGGGTTGGTAGCAATTGATTGGTAGCAATTGGTGGGTGGCAATTGATTGTGGGTGGCAATTGGTTGATGACAATTGGTTGATGACAATTGGTTTATGACAATTGGTTGGTGACAATTAGTTGGTGGCAATTGGTTGGTGACAATTGGTTGGTGACAATTAGTTGGTGGCAGTTGGTTGTTGACAACTGGTTGGTAGGTCTCTGCCCTTCTGTCATGGTTATTTTTGAGGGCCTGTTTTTTCTAAAAACATGGTCCTCAACCAATTGTCATCAATCAATTGTCACGCCAACCAATTGCCACCCGCCAGTTGTTGTTGTTGTTGTTGTTGTTGGCGGCCCATTTTGGGGCCATGTCGGGCCATCTTGGCCCTATGTTGCGCCCTCTGGGGCCTATGTTGGGCCCCTCTTGGGCCTATGTTGGGCCATCTTGGGGCTATGTTAGGCCATCTTGGGGCAATGTTAACACATTTTGGACCTATCTTGGGGGCCTCTGTTGGCTCATCTTGGGGTACATTTTGCGCCATTTGCGAGGACACGGGCCCATGACCCCAAAAAATCCGATTATGCACGCGCGGGCGGCGCGCATTACCGACACCACCCTTGTAAAACCCACGGTTTTTGCATTTCACCACTGTCCAAATTGTAGGTTGCGCTACGCCCACGAAACCCTGTAAAACACAGTGCGCCTCGCACGCAAATCACAGCGGAACAGCGGTGGAGACCCAGCAGCCAGCCGCCGGGGCGTACGTCCGACCCCCTGGAGAAGACAAGTGGCAAGCAAATCATTGGTTGATGACAATTGGTTGGCGACAATTGGTTGATGACAATTGGTTGGTGATTGGTTGGTGACAATTGGTTGGTTCTTGAAAAATTGGTTGTTGACAAGTGGTGGCAATTGGTTGATGACACTTGGTGGGTGGCAATTGGTTGGTGGCAATTGGTTGGTGACATTTTTGGTTGGTGACACTTGGTTGATGACAATGCGGTTGATGACAATTGGTTGGTGAGTGACAAGTGGTGGTGCGGAGCGACGAGGAGGAGGAGCGAAGGAGGAGTGGATACCAGACTAAAACAAAAGCCCCACACGTCAATGTGGGGAATTGTCCTCAAAGTGGCTCGCTGACTTCCCAACGTTGCTTTCTGACGGCAGGATGGAGCAGAACTGTTTTCTGATGGCAGGATGGGGCAGTGTTCTCTGGCGCGCTCCCCCACCATCGGCTGGGGTTGGCGGATATGTATGTATGTATGTATGTATGAATGAATGAATGTATGTATGTATGTATGTATGTACTTCGGTGGTTGTGGATGAGTCACACCTATACCTCCTCCGAATTAGCGGTCATACCTATGCGACTGGCCCAGAATGGACACCGGTCTCTTTGGTAGAAGAGTTAGAAGCTTATAGTGTATATGAATTATATACATTGTTACATATTATGTAACATTTATGATGTTCCACTTTTTCTTCTGGTATACACTATTATTAAGACAACCCAGTGTTTGGGATCTCGTCCCCCCAAAATCACCCCTTCGTCCTTTGGTCGTCGGGACGCCGACTCTGTCGTTGTTGGAGTCCGATCCCTTCAGAGTCACGCAACGTCATGACCGGCCTGGCGAAACGAACGGGTTAGTTCTTTTTTTGGGGGGAACAAATCGTGCTTCTGTTTTCTTTTTTAACGGTGCTGTATCACAGGGATGCAGGGTGATGCACAGTGATGCACTGTGATCGTCCTCAAGTCTTTTTTTTGCGGTTAGGTACTTGGGTAGCTCCATGTAGCTCCACAATGCTCCACAGCTGTGGAACTACACAGGCCAAAACCCTCAAAAAACCGGTTTACTGACTCTTTTCATCTCTTTTCCTTCCATGCTTCAAGGTTCTGTTTTTTTCCCTATAATGGTGTTTGACTGTTCTCCTTCCACCCACTGGTTCCGATCCCCTTTTTTTGAGTCCACTCGTTGCGTCCAGACGCGCCGGGCCTCCAAACCACGGGTCGCCACCCACTGGAACTGCTTCGTCGCCGACGCGTCGGCACCGGTGCCACGCCCGAAGTACGTCGTCGACGCGTCGGCGACGGAGGTTTCGGCACACGGAGTACATCATCGAGGTGGACGACTGCGGAAAGGTCTACACGCGCTCGCGGAGGCGCGATGTACTCCGTGTCGCCCGGTGTCGACCGTGGTGTGTGGGTGTGTGGGTGTGGTGTCGGTGTCAGACATCATGTGGAACAGATAATCAGGTAGGCAGGTACATGATAGACAGAGCAGGCCATAAACTCAGTCACAGCTTCATACAATTTTCATACGGAGCAAAAAAGAGCAACACACTTTACAAAAGACGCGTGCCCCCCATGTTTGTGGAGTTTTTACTTTTGGTTCTGGGGCTTTACTTGCTTTGAAGATGATGCAGACATTGTTAGGAGATTGCATGTGTCTTTTTGGGGACCATTTTGTTTCCTGGTGAAGCGAGTCTTCTTTGCTACGCGACCTGAACACAGACTGAGGGTCCGTGGATGAACCGATGTTGACACGCAAAGCTTGGGCTGAACAGTCTGGGCTCGCACAGCTTCTGCAATGAACTCGGTTTCTTTCGCTTTTGCAAGAACTAGAAGTGAAACCAGCCTATACATCTGCCTGCTGTACCCGGAAACCAAACGAGGACCATCGGTTGAACAGCTTTTGTGGACTTACGATTCTTTGGTCAGCACTCAAGCTCCAGGGCTGGTCAATGAAGCGAAATGAACACTTGAACATCCATGCTGGACACTCGACGATATGGTGGTCTTTCTTTTTCCAGGACCGCTTCAACCGTTCGATCGTCCAACGATTCGATCCTTCGGACCCCATCCTTCGGATGGACGTTGACAGCGGTCCCGAGTGAGGTCCGAAGGAATCCGAAGCGAGGAACGAGTCTGTCAGAGTCTGGCTTCTGTCAATGGTGCCAGTGGCGTGCCACCAATTGGTTGGATTTGTAGATGGACGAACATCCAATTAATGGTTGGATGTGTTCTCCTATCAAATTGGATGGAATTCGGAATTGATCACAGATTTTGATTTGATTCAGGAAACGCACGTAAACAGAACATCTTCCTGTACTGGCTAGAGTTGAGTCAGCCATGACAGAGATCTCATGGAGATCATTGCAAAAGACTGTCGATTTTCAACATCTCGTTCCCTAGGGATCCAAGTACCTCCTCAAAAGGTACGACTGGACCCTCCTGGCACCATCCCAGTCCCACCTTCTCGGAGGGTACGACGGGATCCGTAGGGATTGTAAATCGGATCTACGAGATTGCAGTACCCAGACACTCCATGTATGCCATATATGCCTGCATTGGGGTGGTTTGGGGGGTCAATGGGGCGGCATATATGGCAGTCCCATGGAGTGTTTGGGTTATAATCCGCGCGACTCAGTGGCCATGTTGTACTGGACATTCTGACTCGAAACATGGCCTGAGGGCCTTGGGTCGACGAAGAATGAGGGCGACTTAAGGAGCCCAGAGATCGAGCGACCATGCTTGGAGGAAGGCGGCAGCCGTGGAGCAGTTTGGAAGCCCGTCCTGGAGATTCCAAAGTATTGAAAGATCATGAAAGATCACCCAACCTTTGAGCTCCTTCGAGTCTTCTATGACCAATCGATCAATCAGATTGAAGGAGAAGGTCCTTGGTCCCCGGACGACATCCCCTTCCCACATAGTCCGCTCCCTCCGACGCATCGAACATGGTGCCCTCTGAGAGTACGATACGCGCCCGAGGCCGCCACGACCGACGGGTGTCGGGCGTCGGAACTTCTGGTCCCGGGCGACGGAATCGGCACCGGGCCTCGGGCCGGAACGCGCCGTGCGGAAGCTCCACGAGGTACACCATGTTCGCATGGCTTCACGCGGAACTCCGCCACCGAGAACTGGCTTGCGCCCTGCCGCGGGGGCCGAACCGATCCGGTCGTCCGGGGGGCCTCCGAAGGTCGCTGGAGACCACCGAGATCCCACCGAGGGAGAGGATGGAGCATGGATACGACCCACGTTTGAGGGGAGATCATTTTGGGATGCGACCTGGAGCATGACTGGCGACTACTGGTGACTACTTATATCGGTTTGGAAGGTTTGGGATAGTCTATGATAGTCTGAGATGAAACGTCGTGGTGAGGGGCTTCTGTCACTTAGAGTGAGACATCTCGTTTCAGGTCAAGATTTGAGAGTAGCTGACTGTTTGTCGGCACCTTTTGGCGGCAAATTGTTGTGCAGATCGTTTGTGTGGATGGTCTGGACTTGGGAAACAGCGGATGGGGCAACACGTTCAACTCCGAACCGTTCGATCTCGGTGTTTTTTTTTCACAGTTTTCTCATGGTTTTCTCTCATGTTTGTGGCACCGCATATCACCATGATCCTTATTGACGGATTTTTCCGAAGAGGTCCAAAGAGTACAGACACGTTCTTCTGTCCGATCTTCCTACTCGTGCATCTTGGACATGATGGTGTGGGTGCCACAACGGGTCAGTAAGGTGTCTCGAAGGTGCCATCACAGCATCAGTGCCCAAGGCTCTGTGGCGCTGCACGTGAACTCCCTGTAGACCACATGCCACAAGGTGTCGCAATGGCAGAGGTCCACCTCGGAGGTTGTTGGATTCTAATATATATGGAAAAAAATCGAAGTGTTAGAGGGATATTTGATGAGATTGGTGGTTCCGCAAGACCTGGTGTTTGTGGAAAAACCGGGAGCTTGACATTGACTTGAACAATGGTGACATGCCGGACTACTGTATTTGTTCAGTGCGGTCACCTTTGCGGATGCGCCCAGTTTCTGTTTCAGCTATGGAAGTGTTAAGCCTCACCCTCACCTGCTTCATGGTAGCAGCTTGGGCGCCAGAAGTGGCGCAGCTGGTCTCAGTGGTGCTTCTGTTACGCACCAGGAGCAGGTCACCACTGCAGGTCGGATTGGCCACATGCGTCGACGCGGGCCACATGCGTCGAATGTTGACAGCGTTGGGTAGGCCTTCAACACCGGTCGAGAGATAGGCTTCGTTCCGCGGATCCGGCCCCAAGCCGCCCCCGTCTCCACTCCACCGATCTGCGTCTTAGGCCGGAGCTGCCGCCGAAGAAGGTCTTGGGCAACCGCGAATCTGCGTGGGAGCCGAGCACGCGCGCGATCGCGCGATCAACACGGAGTCCATGTGCGGGGTGGATGCGCAGGTGATGACTCGTGATTCCCAAAAGAAGGTGCAATGGTGAATGAGCACAGAACTCTGTTTAACATATTTGATCATATTTGTATACCCAATGAACCATCCCAAGACCGAAAAAACAACGGATTTCTCTATCTTTCTGTGGTTTGGGCTTGGGCAGTTGTGTTTTGACACTGGACATGCTTGCATCCAAGGCCTTTGTGGAGCGAAGAAAGCAGATGCTGGAGGACCAACGCGACGACCCACACGCGTCACGTCGCCCCCGTCGCGAGCAACACGTGGGAGGATGGTGGCATTCATTCATTCTGGGAGCAAGCCTGGAGGGTGTGATTTGCAGGTGAGCAAGGCGGGAATGTCAATGTGTTTGAGCAGGTTTTGTCTCAACACCTTTAGAAGGCCGAAGGCCATCTAAGTGGCGATTAAGTGGCTGTGGGGAGAGCACCAGGAGACCGGTTGAGAAACGAGACTTCGAGCGTTGGCCAGTCTGGTGGTCTGTGTGTCTACAGGTCTTTTGAAGTATAGGGGCCGAGTCAACGTCTCTAGTGCTCTAGAGCCACTCTGACCCGATCCCACAACGACCTGACCGCTGTAAAGGCTATGCTCCCATCTCCGGTCCACACTGGACGTGAGCGAATGGCCTTCAGCTCTTTCCCATCGACGTGGCAGGACTATCTGAAGGCCTTGCTGATGTTGCCCGCAGTCATTCAGGCGATGTGGAACACGCGCTCGTGCGTGCATGCATTCGAAAGCGCCGCTTTCTCTACAAGATTGCCCTGATTGCTCAGTTGGGGTGGGCGGTGAAACAACGCGAGGGGTGGGGTTCAGGGCGAGGGAGAGCTGGGTGCCGTCTAGGCCAGTCCCATCTTTTTTGGCAACTTCTCAGTGTTGCATGAACTTGTCAAGCTTCGGCCTGGTAAAAGCCACGTGCATCTCTCTAAGTTTTCCGCGCTTTCGTTCAGGACGGCATGATTTGGGCCTTCCTAGATGCTGATGAAGCCACAGCTGTGGTGCCGAGGCCTGGGGGGGCGGTGGTCAGGTGCTGGGCCTCCAGTGACGTCTTCCGGAGGTTGCTGCACTCCCACAAGGGACTTTCGGCACTTGTGGGCCGGAGCAACTAAGTGTTTGACGATGATTCCCAAGCACCGTGTGGGACTTCCGCGTGGATGGTCATTTTCAACCGCTTCCAAGGAATTGCGAGTCTTATATCTGATGCTCATAATAACTCATATCTCATATCTCATAATTACGAAAGGTATACCGTACCGTCCAAATCAGAATTCTTGGCTCAAATCCCAAACTGGAGGGATAAAGTCGAGTTCCGCAACTGCGCAGGATTCCGCAACTAGGGTTGCGGTGTTTGGTCGGATTCCGCAACTGGGATTCCGCAACTAGGATTCCGAAACTAGGATTCCGCAACTAGGATTCCGCAACTAGGATTCCGCAACTAGGATTCCGCAACTAGGATTCTGCAACTGGGATTCCGCAACTGGCGTTCCGCAACTAGGATTCCGCAACATTGTGGACTCCCTCACTAGGATTCCGCAACTTTGTGAATGATGAGGGGGTTGGCGTGATGTCGAGATCACACGATGGGGACAAGGGGGGGTTGGGGGGTGGGGGGGTTGGGTGGGGGCTAATGACGTTGGTTTGGATGTGCTTCGAAGGTGATGTCACAGGCACACACGCTATCGCATGATGTGGAGATCACCAGTTGCAAGTTTCAGAAGGCAAGTTGCAGAATCTGACTTTCCGGTTTCAGAATACCAGTTGCAGAATCTGACTTTCCAGCTTCAGAATCCCAGTTTCAGAATCCTAGTTTCAGAACCCCAGTTTCAGAACCCTAGTTTCAGAATCCGACCGATTAGTTTCCGAACCCGGCTCTAACCCAAACTGGAGGTTATTAAGCTCTTCAACCACCAGAGCACTGGGCAATGTTTCGCCAAGACGTGCAGAAGGTGGTCCCTTCTTTGGTCCAATCCGCGCTGCGCCGCGCAGGTTCCTGTGTCGCCCGGCCACGCACCAAGCGGCCGAGAAGTGCTTGAGCGCGCTGAAGCGCGCCGTGGCGGAGAAGCAGGCCGTGTCCCGGGCCGCGGAGTGGAGCCTGGTGACGGGGCACCGAACGGAGCTGGGTGATTCACCGCGTTGTTTTTGGACACGAGACGCTAAGGACGCTACGACCGGAGCGGGGCTCCTTGGTCTTACGACGAAGCGGAGCGATCGGCACGCGACAGAACGGAGCATGTCGGGCCTCGCGACGAAGCGGAGCGCTTCGGGCCTCGCGACAGAACGGGTCACGACGTCGGCTCGAAGTGGATGGTGAACAGGTGGAACTCTCTCGGGTGCAGACCGGAGGACCGGAGGACCGGAGGATCTGGACCCGCGGGTGGGCTCGGAGCTGGGACCGGGTGGGTCGCGTGGTGCGCTCGGTGAAGCCCTTTTAACTTGATGACCGCAACGAGATCGAATTGATAGAACTTGTAGAAAGGGCCCATGACCCACGGAATATCTCCTGTTTCAGAATATTGTTCTCACGAGCTAAGATCGTCATTTTCCCGGAAAGGGGGTGGGCAGGCGAACCCGCTGTCCCAGCCATGGAAAGAACCTCCCGTCATCAGTGGCTCTGGCACCGACCCGTCGGACCGTCGGGCCGGACCGGTGCAGGGCGAGGTCTTCCGCCTTTGCGATGCCACGGTGCTGGAGGCGCTGGCCACGGGTTGAACACCACGAAGTGTTCTCCTTAAATATGGATGAAGATATGGATTAAGTTGTGAATATGATCCATATAATATCCATATGAACATATTATATAATATAAACATATTTGGCAGATTTGACATGGATCCATTTAGACTGGGGATGTTGGTTGAGGGATGGTAACAGAAAAGGCTTTGAGCTTATCAGGAGGCTCCGAAACCCGGGTGGAATCCCCTTTACATGACTTCCATTGGGCTCATCAGGGCATGGTGCGCAAAGGCTCCAGGACAAGAGGAATAAGGACAACGAAGTCCTGTGGTTGGTGAGGGTTTTAAGACTGCCTCCCAAGAGGTTTGAGCACATAAAGACTCATAGGGAATGACCTAAACCAAAGTGGCGCCTATATATATATATAGATAGATGTTCAAGAAGTATCGACATGGGAGTCCGAGTTCATAGCAAGCAACAGAAAGGGGTCTCACCATGTTATATAATAATATAAGATTTTCGGGGATGACCTTGGGGTCACCTTTCCATCGCCAAACCCATTTAACTAACCTTTCGTCACCCGCATATCTCTTTTCCCCAAGCAGTTTTAAGCTGGCCACCGTCTCTGGACGCGCCTGTAAACGCTGTGTCCGGGCATTGTCCTCTTCTTGTCCTCTTCTTGTCTGCCTGTTGTTCTCTTCTTGTCTTCTCTCTTTTTCGTTGTTTTTCCTCCTCTTGTCTTCTTCTTGTTGTCCCGTTGTCCTCCTCTTGTCCTCCTGTTCTCCTTCTGCTGGCGTCAAGCTTGGCGGCGCCGGTGAATTCTATGTCCGCCTGTTGTCTTTTTGTCCATCTGTTGCCCTCTTTCTTGTCCTTCTTCCAGCTTGGCGCGGCTGCTAGCCTGTCTCCAGTCCTTGTCCTTTGACTCAAGGCTCTTTTGAACATCTAGCTCGAAGGCTGGTGCCCAACTGGTACAGGTGGTGCCAGTGGTCAGCATCCATAGCCGCACAGAGTGCATTGCCCATCTCCTTTGATGCAGCTGCCCTGGCGCTGGGGCCCGGCAATTCACACAGCCACAATTCGTTCTACGCCGAGCGGCACGGCCGCAATCATCAGTTCCAAGGTCCAAAAAGCCGTAATTACCTTTTTTGGCGTTCACTTAGCGTCAATTTTTGTTTTGATTGCACTCACCCTAAAGTAAGGTGAAAGCACAATGAATTGGGCACGGTAAGTACCAATATGCAAGGCGGACCGGAGAAGGAGCACAACAAACTCCTGCGGCTTTTCAACTCATTAAGAAAATATAAATAACTTTTTTTCTCCAGAAGTCCGGGAAACGTTTAAGAGAGCTGGCATACTCTGACGGCCCGTGAGGATCCATTTGCTGTCGATCCGTGGTTTCATTATTTCATTCTGCTTGCCCGGTCGATCGTGCACTGCAAGCCAGGTCCACAGTAGCCAAACCTGTCAGGAAAGCTCACCTTAAATCACGACGGTTCACCACCAAGTTGCAGCTGCTTTCCGGAGAGACTTGTAGTGTAGAGTGGGAAGAGGGCGAAAGGTCGAGCATGTGGCGACAAAAGCAGCCCAAAAAGCTGGCGCCAGACGTTAAAGTCGGCACCGTCATAGAGCAGTGCCTCGACAGCATGGAAGACAAGAGCACCGACATCAAAACAGCGCGCAGACATGCGAGACTTCATGCTGAATATGTGTGAAATCATTGTCATTTCAAACCACCCACCCGCAAGATTCAAGATGTTGATCCATCTTTGAATTGGCAGCAGACGTCCATGGCACGCGATGCATTTGACAGGGAGGCACGCTGTTAGTACCTTCAACTTTTCCACGTTAGCGTTGCAGAGCTCGGCACTTTCTGTGCCCTATGAGGGCAACGTTGACCAGACTACCACTTCCACGCCCCAGGTTCTCACAAAGCGCTGTACCAGCAGGCCCGAAAGAGGGCGCCAAGCGGGGTCAGGCTCATTTGCGTCTCGCAGAAGAGAAGTTTTTTTTTTTTCGTGGCCATCACCGATAAACAAGCGCTTTCAGAGTTGCACGGTCGCATATCCTCCTCCCACAGACCTCTGATCCGTGCCCAGGATTTGCTCAAAACTTTACGAGCTCATTGATTGGACTCGCGGCGCCCGACAGTGCTGGTATTCACGTTAAGTTGGTCTGGCTACGGTTACATCCTGGGGCCGGTACTGGGTCCAGGATTACTGCTCTCTCACTAACCGACTGTGGAGAGGAGGATCCTCGTGAGCGAGTCGTTCCAAGCGTGCGCAAAAGCTGGATGAAGGGAGCTGGATGAAGGGTGGGTGAGTGAGAGAGAGAGAGAGAGACAAAGCAAAAATATGAATACATAGCCTATCCCAAGTTACAATGTGAGAGAGAGAGAGTAATATATAGAGAAAGAGAGAGAGAGAGAGCCACAGAGAGGAGTGTCCCAAATCTGCAGGTAAGAAAACCCCCACCAGCAAGGGCCCAGACACACGCTGTCGGAAAGGCCTGATCCAGGGTCCGTTTGACGCGGGGTGAGATCCAGGTTAGTGAGCGGAGCGGTAGCACAGTGGATTGTTCAGCTGAGCGAACCCTGTGTGCGCAGGTGAGTTAAATGTATCATGCAATGCTGCGTGCGCAGCTGAGCGAATCTTGCGTGCGCAAGTGAGGCGCCGTCCCAACGAGGGCCATCTCAACGAGTCCTATGGGAGACGAGGGGCTGTCTCTCTGTGTGTCTGTCTCTCTCTCTCTCTCACTCACACTCACTCTCACTAGATCTCACTCTCACTCACACTCACTCTCACTAGATCTCTAGACTTTGTGCTGCTACACCTCTAGACCTCACACGCACACTGGTTGGGGCCTCTTGCCGGGATAACTGTATATACAGTTTACATACATATGCCAGGCGCTGCAGTGCCCCCGTGGAAGAAAGACCCTAACATGTAGGCATATGTTCCAGTCCTATGGAGTGTCTGGATGTTGGAATTCGAGGCTCTTGAACAGAGGAAGAGTGGTGGTTGACCCAGGGAGCCTTCATGTCAGATTCGAGTGAAATTCCTATTCTTAAGGATTCGCAAGCATCATTCTCGGGCTCCCAACATCCGATTGAACCCCCTGATGAAGTTTAGGAAAAACACCTGATATAAGCATTGTGTTCCAAGCCTTCAAACTTCAAGAAACACGCACGAGCAGAGCAAAGGCCAGTCCCATGGATGCTTAGGGTTTTGGGAGCAACTTCCAAGGTCATTCCAAACCACAAAAAGCACTCCAACACCCTATAGTAACAAAAAACTACTAGAGGCTCTTGGCATCACTACTAGGAGCAAGGACGCTACTAGGGGCTCCCGGCCGTACTACCAGTCGCATTTTTGCTATTAGTAAGGACGACCCTGGGGTCAGGGCTCCGGGTGCTCGCCTGCCGAGCTGAGATCCTGAGGAGCTGTCTCAGGCTGCGAGGGCCGAGGCTGCCGAGGCGGTCTCTCCCGTGGGGCGGGTAGACGCGCCGATGCAAATGCGAGGAGAGGTAGACGGGTGGAACTTCTGGATTTTGGGGTGATCACAAGAAAAAATTGTGCGGAAAAACATAAGGCAGGCCGAAGTCATGTTAAACTGAAGTTATTGCGCAGGCTTGTCATTTTTGTAGGGCGTTTTGATCACTCTTTGATCACTCTGGGGCTTGGAGTTGAATTGATCAATGCTTTTAGGGCAAGCTCTCTCTGTTGCTGTTTGCATGCCCCCAGAAAGGACTGCCTGGTGCTTAGAAAGACCATATGAGGAACCACCGGACGTCCACGGTGTGCAACGTCCATTCGGGACGTTCGGGACGTTCCGCCTCCCATCTGAGCTGCGGAAGCGAGATGGACGACGGTTGCGGAAGCTAAGTGAAAGGGGTTTTGGGGGTTGCAGATGTTGCCCCTAAAGCCAATGCTGCAAGCGGAGCGGATGTGCGAACACATGCAGGGGTGCCGGAGGGTCTGAGCGAGACGAACGACTCTGAAAAAAGTGGCGGAAGCTAAGTGAAAGGTCCAGTTTTTGACGCATTGTTTGGGGCTGGGGGTTGCAGGACCGCCTCTGAAACCAATGCTCAAAGCGTCACTGTGCTCAAAGGCAGGGGCTAGAGGATCTTGCCATGTTTGATGGCTTGCACATTCATGATAGCAGAGAAAGAACCATGTCGACAGGGCCACACGACGAGGGCCGTACGTCTGTACGCCCTACGCTCCGGTTTTCGAGAGGGGAATGGCTGCGGGTCGTCGGGTCGTGACCGGGAGCCCTCCCCCAGACGTAGCGAACGACCGGACACCGGGGAAGTCAACGAGTCGGTATGGTGGTGACCGAACAGCCAGATCGACCGAATGAACCCGAATTGCTGTATTTGGTGCCCGCCTACTGTGGTTCCTCCTGGTCCGTCCTCCGTGCCTTGTCTCCGCCGCAGCCCGTGGTGATGGGCCAGCAGATGCAGGCTCTGTGGGGCTGGCTGTAGGTCGAAAACTCGTTTGTGGCGGTGTTTGGAGGTCCAAGTTGCAAACAGAGTTGTCAGAACTGGTAGGAGGGGGTGGTGATGGAATTTTGGTGGGGTGGAGTTGGAGGTCGACATGGGGAAATTCTACCAATATTGTTAGTTTTGAACTTAGTATTGTTCAGGCATCCAGAATACCAATGCTATGGGTGGACGACTAAGTTCGACCCAAGTTCAGGTTTTTTTCCTCTACCAGGCTACCAGGCAGTATTTGTTGTGGAGACCCTCAACTCTCAACGGGTCATACGATGGGTGTCCGTCCTTCTTCAGAACAATGAAGACTGTGATCAGTGATTCCCGAGAAAAACAACACAAACAGATCTAGAACTCCAGGGAATTTCCTGGGTGTCGTGACTGCAAAAAAAGGAGGACCCCCAAAAAGACCGTGGATTTAAACAGACAGTAACCTACTCTTTGGATCTTATTTTTTCAGGAATTGTGACACGACACCACTTAGGTGCCAGAAAAGACGCGGGGCAGCCATGGCAGACATCGACATGTGTGGCGCCACTATATAATGAGGTCAAACTTGAGTCAAGCGGAGTGTTGCGTCCGCTTACAAGCATTGGTTCTTCTTCACTTCCCACCTTGATTGAACAGGCTCTTTCTTGACGAGGAAAGCAGAGCCGAGGAAAGCACGGTTGAGATGGCCACTTTCACTGCAGTCAGGTCGTAGTGTCGTAGTAGTGCATCACATGCACAACTTTCTTAGCCTGGCTCACGCTTTACTTTTCTGACTCGTGCTGAGTAGAGAATGCGGGAATGGATACTAAGGTATCTACAGTGGAGGGTCATTCCTTCATTCCCTGCTAAGCACCTGTCAGTTATTGAATACACGCCTTATCACAGTCCTTCTGCGAGACCCTTCAGAAGGGACCCCCTTTTGCGGCTATCCCCTTTGGTGAGATTCTCCTTAGCGAGTCCACATGCATCCTACAAAGGCAGCCACTTGCGGCCTGTACAGCTCGCTCGCTGTTCTCATGTGGGCCAAAGGCTGCTTGTTTTGGGACGTTGGTTCTGAAGGCACCTTCCGGCCCGATTGAAATGGTCCTCAGGCAGAATGTGAGCCATTTCCAGTATAGAAGTCCTTTCCCGGTTTTCCAGCACCAACTTCGCATGGCATTCTTTGTGGCAGCTTCGAAAAGACGAACACCCCCACCATCGCAGTGATGCGCTTCGCATCACGGGAAGCGCAGCCGGTCGCGAGCCGTCGCGCGCCGCCAGGTGCGGTTGAAGAACCGTTCCAAGCTCTGCTACATCCTGCCCGGGGGCTCCAGGGTGTTGGGACACCGGGGGGGTGCCGAAAGCGCTTTCAGCATGAACAGAGTTCCTGGAAGAGCAGGCCCCCTTGGTGCTGGATGTGTTCCCCCTCAGTTCGTGACCTCTTTGGAGTCTCTGTTTGTGGGCAACCCTGTTCATGACCGAACCTGCTGGGATCTCAAGGACGGTCACGAACGGGTTTGGTCCTGGAAATAAGTCGGAGGCTCCCAGAGGTTTTTAAGGAACAACATCTACAGGAAGTCTTATACAGAGTTGTTTATTTTTCCTACTGTGCCGTGACTTCCGCGGCTGAGTGTATAGTTTTTCCAGGTGAAACGCATGGGCTTCCGATTTCCTTGAAGGCGATCCATTGAGAGAAGGCACCACGAAGACCCCCCACCTGATAGCTCACTGGCGTTCATTTGTTGTGTCTGAAAAGGAGTGCTGTACTCAATGGGTTTGGAGTCTGTCAAATGTTTTGAGCACAAGAAGGCATTGGTATGGAACATACATGAACAACTATGAACATACCAACGCTTGGGAGGAATGAACGTGAAAGGAGGGTCCACTCTAGTGATAGTGAACACCTGGACGAAAAGAAACATCTATGAGTTTGGATGGTTCAACCTGGCCAAGAGGTCGAGTACATGGCCAAGAGGTCCAGCCATGAGTCATGGCCAGTGGCAAGGGGGGGTCATCACCCAATTTGCTGGTCAAAGGTGTTCAAAGACACTCCATGTATGGAATATATGCCTACCTTGGAGTGGTCTGGGAGGTCAATGTGCGCATACACACGGCAGTCCCATTAGTCGTGTCTGGGGTTGAAACGTTCATCCCTCGTGTCCTGAACTGGGTCCCGAACCGAGTGGGAGCGGAGAAGGGAGCGGAGGGAGTGGAACCATGTGGAGCGTGCGGTCTCAGCCGATGTGTTGGTGTGTCGTTCCACAATTGGGCAGGTTTGTTTGTCGCCCAGTGCTTGAACATCCGGATTGATTGCAAGCCTTTTGATGCGAGGACTCCCCCGTTTCTCCTACGATTCTTCATCCTTCCACGTTTCGTCACACTTCAGGCTCCCTCATGGTCGAAACCGTTTTTTGGTCTCGCACCCTGCTACGTCGCACCCTGCTGGGCCCCTGCGTACAGGGTCTCACTACAGCCGCATCCCCCCCTGCGCTGTTCTAGGCCGAGCCTCCGCTCCTGCCTCGCTCCCCCGAGCTTCCTTTCGCGCTTGGCGGAGGTTCCAGGTGATTTGTTACGACCGGGCTCGGCACAAGCTCGTGCAGTCAGACGTGCCACCTGGCGTAGATGACGCGTAGAGTCGGGGTACGAAGCAGAAGCAGAAGCAGAAGAGGCGACGCCTCGCGTTTTGGGCTTCACCACTTTTGTCGTCAAAGGCATTTCTCCACATGACGCCACCACATGAATCTCATCGCCGCCACATGACGCCTGACCTTCCTCCTCGTCCCATGGTTTCCCGGAAAAGGTGGACGGTTGCCGGGGGGCGGAAGTTGGAGGGGCGACTCCCAGTGCAGCTTTTGGGAGGACCCAGGAGTTCTTTTGAAGTCTACATGTTAGATCACTTGAGAGATCTGGCGGATTTTGCAGAGGATCTTGGGAGACCAGTGGACCAAACACCCGGCCGTGCCGCCCGGGGTGTTTTCTGACCGGCTCGCAAACCAGACCTCATATGGGCCGCCCTTAAGGCCGGCAGCACACCAATCGAGCCGCCGGTGGGCAGGGAGTCTGGCTCTCCGGGGAAGTACGTGCTTCTTGTTTACGCTAGCGGAATTTTTACCGCCCAGAAAAACATCCAGAAAAACATGGATGTTTTGGAGATGGACGACTTCAGCACAGTGCCTCGATTCCGAGGGTTCAGATGTCATTCGGTTCAAATTACACATGCATACAGAAGAAACCCTTCTACGTTGC